CAATCACCAGGAGACAGGGAGTTCTAGTCCCACCTTAAGCTGACTGGGTGACTCTAAGCCAGTCCCCACCTCCACATGGTGGTTATTGTAGGGAAAATAGGAGAAGGGAAGAATATCAGTTCTCTTCACTCCCTTGAGTTATTTATAAAAAAATAAAAAGGAGGGATTTTTTTTTAAAAAAAATTGAAAATAAATGAAAATAAATAAAAGACTTACCTTGCACCTGGCACTGTCCCGAACGCAACTTCTGGATCTCGATGCCCCGGATGGCCCCCGTCCTATGCAAGACGCACTCGTTCTCGTAGGTCACCCCGTCGTCCCCACACGCTGGCTCTTTTTTTAAGGGGCAGCTTTCCGGCCTGGGCAACAGCTCGGCCCGTCGCGAGCGAGGGTTGACCCGACACACTCTATTCATGTCGTTGTGAGTGTTTTTGCAAGGATCTGCGGGGGTGGGGTGGGGTGGGGGGAGAGGAATAAGAAGGGCCATTTGGGAAAAAAAAAAAAACAGACACAATTTTTGCATCCCATGCAAACGGCTCCCTCTCAACCTTGGAGATTTTCCTGATGGCTCGCTTTCCGGGCCCACGATTCTTCAACCAGGAGTGGTCCTGGCTGAGAATTCTGGGAGTTGAAGTCCGGATGCAAATTCGGGTCGTAAAATGTATTTACGACATCAGGAGGAGGAGGAGGAGGACGAAAAGGAAAGAGGACGAGGAGGAGAAGAAGAGGAAGAGGAAGGAGGAGGAGGAGGAGGAGAGGAGGAGGAGAAGAAGAAGTGGAGGAGGAGGAAGAGGAAGAAGATGAGGAAGAAGGAAGAAGAGGAAGAAGGAAGGAGGAGGAGGAGGAACAAGGAGGAGGAGGAGGAGGAGGAGGAGAAGAAGAAGAAGAAGAAGAAGAAGAAGAAGAAGAAGAAGAAGAAGAAGAAGAAGAAGAAGAAGAAGAAGAAGAAGAAGAAGAAGAAGAAGAAGAAGAAGAAGAAAGCGAAGAAGAAGAAGAAGAAGAAGAAGAAGAAGAAGAAGAAGAAGAAGAAGAAGAAGAAGAAGAAGAAGAAGAAGAAGAAGAAGAAGAAGAAAAATAAGGAAGGAGGAAGAGGAGGAACAAGAAGGAGAAGGAGGAGGAGGAGGAGGAGGAATAAGGAAGAAGGAAGAGGAGGAGGAGAAGCGGAGGAAGGTGGTCAATGTGTTTCGCCATTTGTAACCTTCCCAGCCAGCTTCCCACAAGCGAAGCCAGTCCGGGAAGTAGAATTCGCTTAACAAGGCCAGCGATTCGGATTAACAACTGCGGGCAAGGGCGGCCGTCTTCTTCTTCCTTAAGAAACACCTTGCTTAGCAACGGATGTTTGGGCTTTTGCAGCGGTGGCCCTAAAGTCGAGAACTCCCTGCATGGATTGAGGCCGAGTGCCCAAAGAGGTCCTTGTGAGCAAGCGAGCGCGAGCAAGCTGGGATGAAAAGGGACCGGCTTGGGATTTAAAACACTTGGATCTTTGCGCTTGAAGCGGATCACCTCCCTTGCAGTGCTTGGAAAGGCTTATCAGAAAGCAAAAGACGCCCAGCTGCAGATCATCCAGATACAGACAGGAGCTGGCTAATCCCCTTCTCAGCGTCTCCACATGGGGAGTTTTCAACACCCCGGCAGGCTTCAGGCTCCCTTAATAACCCAAATGCAAAAATGCACATTTGGGGTTTTCCCCCCCACCCCACCCCTTAAATGCAGCACCACGCGGTGCTGTGGAACACCTCCATCTCTGGATCAGACCCAGGGGGACAATAGATTAATATGTCACCATGGAGACAGGAGAAGTGTGTGTGTGTGTGTGTGTGTGTGTGTGTCTCACACCTTAACCCTGCAGAGAAAGCGAAGAGCAAGATCAGTGGCCTGTGCTCGGATTCCAGGGGGGATTTTGCCGAAGGATGGATGGAAGGAAGGAAGGCAGAAACAATGAAAGAAGGAAGACAGAAATAAGGAAAGAGGAAGGAAGGAAGGGGAAGAGGAGGAGAGAGGAAGGAGAAAG